GGGGCGGGAGGAGAAGGAAAAGAAGGGGAGGAGGAGGAGATTGTGTGAATTTGTTTGGATCTCTATAAAAGAAATACAATGTAACTGTTAAAAGAAAAAAAAACAACTCATTACTCTAAACTCTCTTTCCAGGCCCCACCTTAGGGTGCCTGGATTCACAGCCACATGTTACTCCAAACTGTGTTCTAGCCATTCTGGAACTTTCCACATGCAGGGAAGGTCCTGTGTATTGGCCCAGCCTCCTCCCTCTGCCCCACCCCACCCCCACCCACTGCTGAAGCTAGATGGGGGTTCAGGACATGGGAGTGATCACCTTGGGTCCCCATTTTCCTCCTCACTAAGCTGCAGACTCAGGCACCTGGGAAGGGGGGTCGATATGCTGGTGCCAGTTCTTCTCTCTGGGTCCCAAGGAGTCTGAACCCCTCTCATTTCTCAGTGGGAAGGACCCCAGAACCCCATGCCCTCCCCACACTCTCCAGGTACCCAAATCCACAGAAGTCTGGTCTCACCACCTGCCCTTTGGGCACTGAGTGTTTTATTAGAGTCCCAAGTTTCATCCGCACCGCGGGGAAAAAAAAGGAAGTGGGAAATAGAGAGAGGGGAACCCGGACCAAACCCTAGACCCCTCCCCCCAGTGGAGCCCAGGGCATCTGCCCTATTGGGCCAAGGAAGACTTCATTAGATCCCTGAGGGCCCCAGGAGGAGGGGGCTGGGAGCAGCAGAAGAGGGCTGGGGGCCACTGCTTCCTGTCAATGCCCCAGGCCAAGGCCCTCAGTATAGATCCTACCCTTCCTTCCAAGGGCTATAGCACCCTTCTCTGGGAAGCCTTGGCTGGCCACCTCCTCACCAAACCCTGAGGAGGCAGTGCTCCCTTGGGCAGGGCTGAAGCTACGCTATCCTCTGCCTGTGACTCAGACAAGGGGCACGTGAGAATACCAGGGCCTGCTCAGTCATTAGGCTGCACTGCTTCTCCCTTCTTCTCACAGGCTCTTCTTCCATCCACTCCTTCTCTCTTCCACCTCCTGACCTGAGCCCCTTTTCATTGCAGGGTCAGATTCAGTTGTGGTCTGTATGTCCCACCTCTTGTCATGCACAAGGCCTGGCTTGTGTGGCCTGGGACTAGGGAATGAGGTGAGGCCGGAAGGGGAGAGACTGGCCTGGAGAGAAAAGGTGGGACCAAGAGTGAGCTCCCTGGCTCTTCCTGGCACTCTTGGGCCTGGAGAGGGGTTTGGGAGGCTGTGGGGCCAGCCTCCAGCCCTCAGCCAGGGTCCTCCTGCAGCCAGCTCAGGAGGAAGCAGCTCCCCCGCCTGGATGGTGCTACACCAAAGGTTAGGCCATTCTTCTTTCCGTCTAACTTATATCCTGCTTGCTGTCCCACCTCCTTGCCTGCCTAGTGGTAGAGAGGATCCAAGGGCCCTGCTGAGTGGGTAAGGGAGGCTCCCAGGATTGGCACCTTCAGGATGTCCCTGGGTCCACTGAGCTGAGATCCCGGCCTGTGAGCTGGCATCAGGCAGGAAGGGGGGCAGGGTGATCCCTGTGTTCGAAAAGGCTCTTTGTTCCCTGGACATGGTGGGAGGGCAGAAGGTGGGGGTAGGGACCCTCTAGAAGCAGCAGAACCCAGCTCCTCCTTGTCTGCAGGGCACCTACCCTCAAGGTCTTCCCTGGCCCTGGGACCTCTTTGTAGCAATAGGGTGTATGCCCCCATGGATCCTGGGGCCTGACCCCTCGCCTCTCTCTGTGCCAGGGGGCACCACTCGGGATCTGTATGGGCTCAGAAGCCTCCACTCTCTGAGCTGCTCCGGCTGTGGTAACTGGGACTGGGGGTCCGGGAGGGACTGCGTGTGTGGCTTCGGGTCCCTCCACTTCGGCTGCTGTAGCTTCCGTGGCTGTGGCCAGGGCTGGGGCTTCGGCTGGGGCTCCTGCTTGAGTAGTCACTGCTCAGGCAGCTGGAGGAGGAGGAGGAGGGGCTGGGCCGGTAGTAGGGGATGGGCCGCTTTCGGGCACTGCCAGGAGGAAAACACCGATTACAGACCATCCAGGGCCCTCACTTGGGCCTGGAGCCCCTCCCCAGCAGTGGCCAGGGTTCTGCTGCCTCAGGTGCCCCCCCTCCCACCCCATCAGGATTGGATAGTCAGTGGTCACTTGCCAATTTCATGTTGACCATTTTGTTTTTCCTCACTTGTCTGCAGGGAAAGGGAACCCGAATCTAGACCTGAGTAGGTGCTCAATAAATATTTGTTGAATGAATGTGAGTTTTAAATATAGACAATTCACATCAACCAAGCTAAGCGGAGGCTTCTGTGCATGGAAAGGTTTGTGGATATGGCCCAGCTCTGCTCCTCTGGTCCCCACAGAATGGAGGACTGGGGTTTTCAGGTCACGTGAAGGGAACAGGAAGAGACCCCTGGCCACTGCTGCCCATGCCCACAGCCTGGCCCAGGCCCACTGGCCCCCTCTCCTCACTCAGCTACCTCCCACCAGCCCTGGAGTTAGTTTGAAGCCAGGAGACTGTGACCCAGAGGAAAGAAAAGAGAGTTGTTAAGGGGGCGGCAAAGCCCCATCGCACTGGGTTAATTCTAAGGAAGAAAACAGGTGTACGTTAGTGGGAGGAGGAGGCAGCCTGGGAGAGGGGCTGAGGTGGGTGCCAGGTGGGAGGTGTGGGAGTCTGCCATCTTAGGACTTCCCTCTTACGTCTGGCGATGTCCCAAACCTGGTGGTCTGGCCTTTAGCTCTGGGGTGAAGGGAGGAGACAATGTGATCATCACGGCCTAGGAAGGGCCTGTTTGAGAATCCGACCATGTGAGATCTGGAAAGATGCTGAGGGAGGCCTGCAATTGCTTGGACGTGAGAACAGGGACCCAGAGAGGCCCCCGATCTCCCAAGGCTGCCCAGTAAGGCTGCGGCAGAGCTGGCTCAGAATTTTGCCAGTGGCCTTCTACCCCATGGTAGGGATCAAGGACTCCTGGGTGGTTTCTGCAAACAGACCATCGGCTCACCTGGAGACCCAGGCCCAGACCCTCCAGCCCTGGCAGAGAAACTCTGATCATGGCACAGCCCCACTGGACTGTGTGGTAAGAAGGAGGGTTCCTCCCACAGCTGCCCCAGAAACCAGGCTGCTGGTGCCCCCTCCTCCAAGTTCCCCAGGGGGCTGGAAGGTGAGCGGTGAGGTTAGTGAGAAAAGGAGAGGCAGACAGACAGCTGAACAGAGCCAGATCAGCTCACATGGGCATCTCCCCTGCAGCCTGTGGAGAGGGGGTCCACTTGGCCCCCAGGCTGGCCACAGGCCACTCAGCAGGCTGGACCTTGAGATGAAGGAGAAAAGGAGACATCATTGCCAGGAGATGAATGGAGGGAGGACGGGTGGGGCTCCCTGCCGGTGGAGCAATGATGGGCTCTTGGCAATGATGGGCTCCTCGCATCATTGCCCGGAGATGAATGTAGGGAGGGTTGGCTGGAATCTTCAGAACTTAATTTCAGGTGTGTCTCTTTCCACCCAGACCCAAGTGCAGATCCCCCTTCCCTCCATGGGCCTTCAGGCCCCCACCGGGGACCATGCCCTTCGTGAGACCTTCCTCCCTCTGTCTGAGTCCACCCCCTCCCCAGCGCCACCAGGTCTAGCCGCTCTCCTCTCAGAGCCCTCTCCCCTTTCCTGAACCTCCACTTCCTCTCCTCCAGCCTTCTCCCCTCCCTGCCCTAGGTTCAGTCGGTCCCTCGAGGAGGGCCTTCACCCCTGGGTCCCTGGATGGTCCCCGGCCCCTTCCTACCTGGTGATGCGCCGCGGCTCCATGAAGCTGGGCGAATCCCGGCGCCGCTTGCGGA